TAATGAAACAAGTTATATGAATTGTTGAATGTGAAACTGATGAGGTGCCCTGTAAACTTTCACTCAATCCACAATAAAAACCTTAAATTAAAAAAAAAAAAAGAACTATTTTGATTATATTTCTTCCAAGACAGATGCTTGGTCTTATGGAAGTCATATTCAGTATTTTTCACCAACATCATAATTCAAATACAACAATTCTTCTTTCAAATACCATGACTTGGGTCAACCACATCTTAGTTTTCAAAGTGACATCTTTGCTCTTTAATACTTGAGGATTTTTGCAGTAGATCTGTCCAACGCAGTAAGTAGTTTGATTTCTTCACTGCTGCTTCTATGAAATCCTTGACAATTTCAATCTCTTCTCTGTTTACCCTGATGTTACTTATTTGGTCCAGTTGTAAAAAAAATTTTTCCTTTATGTTGAGGTGCTATATTCTTCGATGTTTATCAGTAAGTGCGTCAAACCCACTTTGATTTCAGCAAGCAAGGTTGTGTTATCTGCACATTTCAAGTTGTTAGTGAGTTTTCCTCCAATCCTAATGCCACGTTCTTCATATAGTTCAGTTTCTCGGATTATTGGTTAAGCATACAGCTTGATAAGTCTTGCTGTGGCACTGTAGGATGAGCACTGGACCGATAACCACAGTGTTGGCAGTTTAAACCCACCAGTTGCTCCTTGGAAACCCTAAACAGGGTCACTATGAGTGGGAACCAACTTGATGGCATTTAACAACAAAACTTGATGGCACTTAACAACAATAATAAAAAACAACATACAGATTGAATAACAAAAGTAAAGGGATACAACTATGATGCACATTTTCCTGATTTTAAGTCATAGTTCTGGTCAAATACTGTTCTTTTGGTCTATGTACAAGTTCTGCATGAGCATAAGTGATAACAAGAAAACTGTTTTTTCAACTTTGAAACTGCTTTCAAAGTAGCTGGAACAATTTCCACTTCCATTATATACATATGAATGAGGGTTCCAACTGACTCATATTTTTAAACTTAACTGATTTATCATTTTTGTAAATACAAGATCAATATATAATCACTTACCACAAATAGAAGATAACCAAAAAATAAATACAATGAAAACAAAACACTTAAGTATTTTATTACATTTTGTTATTAGATTAATTAGCAACTTAAATTAGTTTAAAACTTGTTTCCTTTTTTGTTATAACTAACAATGGATGCTTTCTCTTTGATGTTATTGAAACATCTAGAAGAAAACTAGGAGGGAAGAGTATTTTTTACTATATGATTCTCTGTAACTTTACTGATATATACTACTTAAAATTATGTTGAGTCCATTCTAAGTTCAACTAAGTATTTTACACATTAAGAGATGTTATGACTTGGTGAAATCCAGATGACATCTAATGCTTTTCATGGAGCATTTGTCAGCTTGGGTCAGCACATCAGTATCAGGGAGCCCAGTCTTGAGAGAGGCACAATTTAAAAACGTGAATGTTTCAAACTTAAAGACATAAGCCACTCAGCACTTTGAAAGTATCAGAAATAGAAATTTAAAGCCCCATTTCTAGGAAATGTTCTCTATCCAAAAAGATAAAATTGTAATCGCTTTTTAGTAACTACAATTAAAATTATTTAATAACAGATTAATGATAGCAATTCAATGAGATCAATCATCAAAAATTAACTTTCAAAAGTCACCAGTTAAAAAATGCTACAAGCTAACATTCTATCTTGTTTACAAAATTTATATTTCCTAGCCATCATTTTAAAACAAAACAAAACATTCAGAGAAAGGCTGTTAATTTACTTACTAGATTGTACAACAGCTTGAGTCTGTGCAGATGTTCCTGATGCTATGTTTGTTAGTGCCCAAGCAGCTTCAAACTGTAATGAAGGACTGAAAGAACAATAAAAAAATTACCATTTAAATTTATGAACTTCAGACCTATATAACTATTCTTTGCCTTAGTCTTGAACTTTAACATGTTATATCCAATATTTGTTGGATTCACCAGTTCAATGTCTCATCGGTCCCTAAAAACCTTCAAGCACTATAAGCTTACTTCTTTATCTCCACTGGTAGTTATCACATTTAGCCAGCCATCATTTTACTGACTCCTTCCATTCCCACACACAACACATTTAATTAGTAAGTCATGCCAATTTTATCTCCTAATTATTTCCTATAATTGTATCATCACCCCTAATAGCATTGTGTTAGTCTAAGCCTTCATCATCCCACTGAATTACTGCCACAGCCTCTAGACTGGCCCTACAGTTGAAACCATAACTGACTGCAGTATACCACCTGCTTTACCTACTGGAGATATTATATGGCTGTATATATATATATATATATATAGTTATATATATATATATATATATATATATAACTTTGCTAAAAGGGTAAGATTGATATAGTTTGGAACAGTGATGGAAGAGTTCACAATGAAAGTGAACATTGAAATGAGTTTTTGAAAGATAACTAGAAAACAAAAGACACTGACAACTGAAGTACAAATAAAAAGCATGAGTGGAGTGATCATAACAGGAATGGATGACAGGGAAATGATCAAGTGAGCAGAAGTCAAGGAGAGATGCAAAACTAGTAGCATGAGATGGAATTGGCAGGTAGGTTATTGTTATCTGAAAATACACATGTGTGCTTACAGGGAGCGGGGAGTGTGCACCAAATCCCAGACTTCAAAATTTGGGCTTTTAGAAAGTACTTAAGAATGGATTAAAATGGTTGAAGGCTAATGCATCTGCTAAAAGACAGGGAAAACGATTTACATTAAGGTAAAATAAATAGGTAGCTGAAAGAATATGAATTCTCTTAAGCAGAGCACTAAGGTGGGAGGGAGTGGCGGTGAGCACACAACTAAGGTGAATCAAAGGTTAGGGAATTAGAAAAAGTATTCAAATACTGGAGAAAAGAGCTAGGATGTTAGTGTCAAAAGGCTAAAGGAATCCAAGAAGGAAAAGGTGTCAAAGGGAATGAATATGAGATATAGCAAGCAGTGAAGATGGAAAATATACTCTACAGGTTGAAAAATAAAAAGATGGCATAGCAAATAGGAAATGCATGACACTTTTTGGTATCAATTAGGGAATAAAAGGTTATTGGAGGAAAGTTAGGACAAATAAAAGGACAGTAAGATCAAAGATGTCCCAGATCTGAAAGAAAAAGGGTTATTAAATCTAGGTGATTAGGCAAAATATTGGAAATGGGGCTTTAACACAGAGAAAATATAAAGATGTGAAAAATAAAATTACAAAATAAAGTATTCCAAGAGGTCATAATGAACAAATAGAAAAAGGAAGTACAGCAAAAATACTGAGTGTTATAAACAGTAGGGACACTTATTATAATTACATGCTTGATATTGTCTAAAGTTGTTTTTTTAATGTTTTAGTGTGAATTATGTGGTAGTTTACATGGGAGAACATTAGCTTTACATTCATCTTATTGAACATCATTTCATTGCCATGGTTACAATCCCCTCCGAGCATCATCAACCAACACAAAGGGTATACCCTGCAAGCCTTCCCCTTGGTCGTCAGTATACAGCCCCTCTCCCTCTCTGGGTCTAGAGTCCCCAGCTCTGCCATCTTTCCATGTTATCATCTCTGCCTCCAACTCTGGCTTCTCTGGGTAGGTTCCCACATTCCACTCTTCTTTCTTGATGGACCTCAGCTCCTGGACTGCAAAGCCAACCACTCCCCTCCTTTTACTACAAAACATCTGCCTTTACATTTCCAACCCTCACAATCAGTCCTGATAGCAACTATTCACTATTATGCTGCATGAGTGCTATCCCGATCTCCTTTCATCAGCCCCGCCCAGACAGATTAGATACTTACTACTCAGTGGAGATTCTACCTTCCGCCGCACCCTCTGGATCTAGGCTCCCTCTTGAAAGCTTATAACCCAGTCACGTCTTGTCTTTGTAGCCACCTCATTTTGGGTAGCCAATGTCAAAGTTGTCCATCCCTGTCTACTCTGTGTATGGAGTGGGTGGGAAGGATCCTTGCTGTAAAGATGTGTTCCCTCTATTGAGCTACTGGTATTGTCTAAAGTATTTTGTATCTATTATTTCACTCCTTACAACCACCTAATGTTTATAAATGAGGTATCTGAGGCTCAGACAGATGACTTGACTTATCCAAAGCCATTTGTATTTTGGTCAGTAGCAAATCCTGGATCTAAACCTGGCAGTGTAGGAAAAGCACTGGACTACCAGCCGCTTCCTTGGAAACTCTATACAGGGTCACTATGAGTCAGAATTGACTCAATGATACTTAACAACAACTGCTTAGCTCCAAATTCTCTGGTCTTTTACTCTGTAACATAATTTTCGATAATAAATTTTTTTGGAAACTTTTTATTGTTAACTGAGAGAAGATTTACAGAACAGATATCAGTTTTACATTCATCAAATCATTTACTTCACTTCATCTCAATGATTGCCATCCCTCCTTCCATGTAACAATCCATTATCCCACTTCCTCTCCATGTGATTCTTGTATCTATTACATCCTGCCCTCCCATCCCTTCTCACATATGTCCTTAGGTAAATGTTATCCTTTGACCTTATGAATGTTATTACTCCTCTCGTCCGCCCCAATACACCTATTTACCGCTTGGCTGAAAACTCACAAGAGTGAGTTCAGTTACAGACTAGAAGGGTGGAAAAGGGCCCTAGTTTATGGTTCCTCTAGTCTCTTTGTGACCAGTAAGCCAGTCTTAAGTTTTGCTTCACATTTTCTCCCTTTCTATCCAGGACCTTCTAATGTGATCCTTTTCAGAGCAGCTGGTAGTGGTAACCAGGTCATGGAGATAGTGATGTTCATGGGTTCCATTAGTTTATGGACTAATTTATTCCAAGTGTCTTCCATTCTCATCACTCTTCTTTCCTCAGCACATAGTTGCCACTTATATAGCTGCTCATGAGCTTTTAAGAACCCAGATGCTACACACCAAAGTAAGATGTAGAACACTGTCTTTGGGGAGTACATTATGCAATTAACTATGTCCAGCAGTTTCCATAATAAATTCTTAAAGTCAAAATCAAACCACTGACAATTTTCTTTTTGTATGTTTTATAACTGTTTATTAAATTATATATACGTATATATGTAATATATATTAAATACTCTTCTGTATATATGAATCTGCCAAAGGTTAGAAAAGAAACAAAAAAAGAAAAATGGACCAAGAACACAAAGGGCCCCTAACAGTGAAAATAGAAGAGAATTTTTTTTTTAAAGGCTGAAGTAAAATTTACCTTTATTTGTCAAAGGAAATACACATGAAAGTATTTTAAAATGTGTTAGGGACTTTTGCAGGGAGGGGTAAGCTATGGTACATATGAAGGCAAAGGAAGCATTTTATATATTAAACAATTCTCCAGTAGCAATATGTATGGAGTCCTGGTATGGCGCTATAGAATAAACACAGGACTGCAAGGTCGGTCTGAACAACAAGGACGGCGATTCAAACTCACCATTAGCTCCTGGGAAATCTATACTGGGTTGCTATGAGTCAGAACCCACTCACTCAACAGCACATAAGACGGCACATAACAACAATAACAAACATTCATATACGACTTATGTAGTCAACTGAAACATCCAAATTTCATTCTAAAGCCTCTAAAATGCAAAAACTTGTGTATATTTGTTTTAAAGTAGTATTTGGAACCAAACTTACATTCTCCCCAGTTAATTCAAATGATGAGGTTTAAGGATAGCACTAAATGGAAATGGAGCCAGCACTGGAAAAATATCAAGTGGAGCCCTCCCCGCCCTTTTTTTCTGGGTAAGTATAAACCTTCTTCCTTATTATTATTACTTAAATTTCACCAAAAATAAAATGCAAGATGTCAGACAACTAATCATGACTGACATTCTGTTAAAGACTATACAGAAGATCAGTGGATTTTCTGGAATACTCCCAGAGTAAGAAAGAGCCACTGCCTTCTGGAAGCCATTCATGTTGACTCACTCCTAAGGCTAATCTATATATAGACTCATAAGCAAAGAGTGACTCAACTACTATTTGGATTGCGTTGAAATATTACTAATGAAAGAAACACACACAACAAACCTTTAAAATTTAGGATAAGTTATAATAGAATATAAATAATGCTAAAAATTTCCTAGGAAATGTATATATACTTTGTAAACTAAAAATGAAAGCAGTTTACACCTGTAGAGCACATTATGAGCAAATAACATAAAAATAAATGACAAAGACAGTTGTTGTTTTTAAGTGTCTTTGAGTTGGTTCTGACTCAGTGACCCTGTATAGGGTTTCTGAAGAGTGGCTGGTAGAGTCTTGAATTGCTGATCTTGCATTTCAAACCAACCTTGTGATAAAGTGTCTATCCTATAGCACCAGACCCGGAATCCCAGACAAAGACATAATTAATACAAAATCAAATCAAACCTATTGGTTAATTAACAATCCAAATTTTTAACTGGGAAAAAAAATGAATAGGGCATCAAACTGATACTTACTTATCATCTCTTTCTAGACATTTGACTAGAATTGGTAAGATCCCAGATTTTATTAGGTCATCAATTGGTGGGTTTCTGTCACTGGATAATAGCTTTCTGGAAATATTAAGACAAGAAATTAATTGCTATAATTTTTAAACTATGAACAGAGTTAACAATGTACTATTTGCACACTATCAACTAAGATACGCTAGGGATGCCATACATACCTCTCCTGTGGGCAAATTAGTATTTACCTTGCAGCCTGGACAGCACTCAACTGGACCACTGGGTTATCACTTGTGGCATTCTGTAATACCAAATATAAATTTCAGAAATTAAAAACAAAAACATGAATTTCAAAACTTTATAAAGTAAGAGTATTAAATTAATAACATACCTGCAATATAGCTTCTAGTGTTACATTTTGCTTAAAAAGAAGAAAAGATAGTTCAGCAAAAAGTTTATTAGCAAAATTATAATCAATTAAAGCCTAGCTGCTAAAATTAGAATTAGTATACTTTGATTACCACTGTAAAATTGATCTAACATTAAAAATTAAATTCTCTTGATTATTATAAAAACTATTTTACAGACACTTTATAAGAACAAGGTAACTTACTGCTTTAAAATCAGCATCAACATCCGAGTCTTCTAGACTTTCTTCTTGGGGAACATTTCTCTTTTTTAATAAGTGTTCATCTCTTTTGTTCTGAAAGGTAACCAATTAATAGTTAAACAGCCACAAGGAAAGCTGTTAATGAAAAATCTATTAAAACGATTTCAGCTATATTGTTGTTAAGTGCCGTTGAGTCAATTCTGACTCATAGTGACTCTGATAGGGTTTCCAAGAAATGACTGGTGGGTTTCAAACACCAACCTTGTGGTTAGCAGGTCAGTGCTTGCTCCTACAGCATCACACCAGGATTCAACTTTATTAGGCAATTGCAAAACAAATACTGAATCTCATGTAAGGAAAATATGGATTAAAGGTGTTATTTTTCAAACCAATGATAAGGCAACATTCTAGTTTTGGTAACAAAATTAACTGGTTTACAGTCCAGCTTTGATATATACACACTAAAAAGTATTATTACAACCTAAGTGCCATCAATAAGGACTCCTGGTATGGAACTGTGGGTTAATGTGCCAGACTGCAAAGCCATCTGAGCTGCAAGGTCGGCAGTTCAAGCTTACCAGCTGCTCCTCAGAAACCCTATACTGGGTTGTTATGGGTTGGAAATGACTCGACGGCACTTAAAAACACATGCCACCAACGTATGATTGGATAAACAAGCTGTGGTACCTACATACAATGGAATACTACAGAACAATAAAGAGTATGGGCACATCTATGAAATATCTCACAACACAGATGAATTTGTAGGACATTATGCTGAGTAAAATAAGTCAACACAAAAGGTTAAACATTGTTTGAACCCACTATTATTTTTTTAAAAAAAGGAAAAAGAAAAGGTTTACAACTCAAGGAGAAATTTATTTTATGGTTACCAGGTATCCAGGGGCAGGGGACAGAGAGGAAGAGAAAATAAAACCAGATAGAGCAAAGACACATTAGTAATAGTGAAGGGAAAGGCAATACACAATATGGGGGAGGAGAGTCAGTACAACATGACCAAAGCAAAGAAAGACACTGAGAGGACTACGACAACAAGAAAAGAATTACCCATTAACAAAAAAATTTAAAAATTAAGAAAAGATAATCTATGAATGGATAAATAGGTAGACAGGTATGCTAAAGAGGTACAAGGGAGAGTATAAGGGCTATTTCTACAAACACAGTGGTTACGAATCAGGCTGCGAACCGCAAGGTCAGCAGTTCAAAGCTACCAGCTGTTCCGTGGGAGAAAGATGAGGCTTTCTGCTCCCGTAAAGATTTACAGCATCGGAAACCCTGTACAGGGTCGCTATGAGTCGGAGCCAACTTCATGGCACATAATAACAACATGTATGTTAATGTAGACAATCATGGGAACTTCTCAGACATAATCAAACACCTGGTGGGACAAAGTTCCTAGGCTTGAAGATGAAGGACCATGGACTCGGGATATTTATGGCAATTGGCACAACATTGTCCATACACACAAGATTCTGTATCCTACTTTGGTGAGTAGTGTCTGAGGTTTTTAAAGTTTGCTACTGCCATCTTGGGCTGTGAACCTTAAGGTCAGCAGTTCGAAACTACCAGCTGCTCCGCGGGAGAAAGATGAGGCTTTCTACTCCCGTAAAGATTTACACCCTC